TCAAATATTCCCTCCGCCGTAACTAATTTGTCCACGTTAGTTAGAAAGTTTATTAATAAAAATAATTGTGATTAAATAAAAATAATTATAAATTAAAATTAAAATTAGATAATTTAATTAAAATAAAATAATTTATAAATATAAAATTTAAAATATAATTAAAATATATAAATATATTTTTTAAAAAAAGTAACAATTAATTGACAAACATTCCAAAATTCAGCGAAAGCTGCCAATAGTGACGTGGACCCCACCCATCAAGACGTCTACGACAAGCGGATTCACAACTTTTTATGTCTCAATTAATTCTAAATGTTTTGGCCAATTCATTTTCATATATCAAAATATAAAAACTGTCCTAGTGACTTTCTCGTCGCCTTGGTTTGCATGTAATAGGTTCGGCCGGAAATTTATGCACTTTCGGTAGCGGCTGCAGATTTCTATATCATCCAAAAAAATAAAAATAAAAATAAAAATAAACATAAAAACTGTAATACTATAATTAAGTAATATCAAATAATATATTTGAGTGATAAAAGTATATAAAGTGTGATTAAAAAAATAAGAAAAATAAAACAATCTTTTAAATATTTTAATTATGTATACACCCGTGCATAGCACGGGTTCAAACGCTAGTAAATTTTAACAAAAAATGAGTAAAATAGATTTTTTTTATCGTAAAAAAAATAGAAAATGTAATACTTCTTTCGCCTGCCTCTAAAAGTCTCATTTATCTTTTGCGTCATTGTACTTAATATTAAACTTATCCTATTCTATAATTTTTTTTTGTACAAATGTCATTCTATTAGTATTAATAAGACACTAATTGAAGTATTTTTACAATTTTTTCTTAATTTATATTACGTTTTGATAGAATAATTACTATTTAAAAATCAACACGTAAAAAATAAATGAAACTTTTATAGTCGGACATATATAGTATTTTTTACTAAAAATAAAAATAAGAACAAATTTGAATGACAACAAAACAAAATAAGAATAAATTTGAATGACATAGCACTAAAAATTGTTGCAATATTTCAAAAAAAGAATCCAAAAAAGCATGTACAAGAAAGTACATTATGCCTTTAATATAGCAAAAGTAATAAAGGGTGTGTTTTTTCGCACAATTGTTGAAAAAAATTAATATATTACACATATTTATTATTTTTATATTATCTACACAATTCTCTATAAAGTTATTTTCCTTGTGTAAGGATTTAAAAAACTACCTCAAATACAAAAAATAAAATAAATAATAATAATAAATGCTAAAGTTACCAAAATATTTGTAGTTGTTAAACTCGACGTTTAAAACAACCCAAAAGAGAGTACGAAGTCGATCTCTTTCAATGATAAGATGAACATAAACGAGTGAAAATACTCTTCAAATAAAAAGAAAGGCCCAAACTCGATCTGATTTGAACATTACGAGGACTTGCAACTGTAATATCACAGATTTAAATATTATAGATACTCTTTCGATTAAGCATACTACATAAAATTTATCTAATGCTCTCGAAGAGTAATGACAATAAATTTTCATATTATAAAAAATTATTGATAAAATTAAAAATAGAATAATATATTCAACATAATAATAAAACTAACATTTTTAAATAGACATTTATATCAAAAGATTGAGACTTTATTTTCTTATAAATTATTTTGTTACAAATTCATTGTTTTTAATAAACATATAGTATTAATTTTTATAAAATACTTCATCCGTCCCGAAGAAATGAGCCCTTTTGTCAGGGAAAGTAGTGTAGGCTAGTAAATTTTTAATAATAAATTATGATAATATTTTATTATTTTTTATATGAATAGTATTGTTGGTATTTTAAATATTTTTAAAATTATATTTCAATAACATATATGCAATATGAATATCATTTTTTAAATAATAAAATTTTATATAATATAAATGAATAAAGAAATATATTTATTTATTTATTATTATCATAAATTAGTTTTTTAAAAAATAAGGAGTTTTAAAAGTAAATAAAAATATTTATTAATTGGGGAGATATAAAAATAAAGGGGTTTTGAGTAAATCCTATGCGTAAGACGTTAAAAATTTAATTAAATTGATTTATATTTGTTAAAAATATTTAAAATTGATAAACTTACAAAAAAAAAAAAAGAAAAACGATCATCTTTCGTAGGACGTATAAAAAATGAAAAGAGGTCATTTGTGATGCGACGGAGGGAGTATATTTGATTAGTAAAAAAATACAAAAATTTTATCCAAAAAAAAAAAAAATTATTATTTTAGAATTTTCCTTTTGGATTACATTATTATTAAATGTAATATTTTATTTAAAAATATGTGTAGTTACCTATAAATATATTTGCTTAGTATTTTCGTTTAAGCTATTTTTTTATGTAAAATAAGAAAATTAGTATCGATAATATATGCAATCATTTTGAATGCTATTGTTTATGAGAAAACAAAATATATATTTTATATATATATATATATTGAGAGTCGGTATTAATAAAAAAAAATTAGACAAACATTAATATTCAGTTGGAATTTTGGTTCAATTTTAGCATTTTCTCAATCTAGAATTTGTTAATTCAATATTTTTTTGGTAGCATGGTTCAGTATAAATATTATAAGCAAAAAATTATATATATTCATATTAACATAATATATAATATATATTTTTTATTCATTACAAAAATTTAATAATTTAATACAAATACTATTTCTTCTAATACAAAATAATTTTCTATACTTGATATAAAAGAGAAATTTATCCAAAAACATTGTGTTGAACAAACCCATAGACATATATAAATAGTATTGATTTGAATTGGGTATTTTGATACTCCTTCCATCCTGATAAGATGGGCGTATTACTGAAAATATATGAATTTAGGTAAAATATAATTAGTAAACAATTAAGAAGTATATTAGTAAAAATAATTACTCCCTTCGTCCCATATGCCGTATCTGCTACACTGTAGACACAGTATTTTAGAAGGGGTGTAATTAGTAGATAATTAAGAATGCATTAGTGAAAATAATTATCCTATAATATAAATAATTATAAATTAAAATTAAGATAACTAATTAGTTTAATTAAAATTAAAAAAAAATTAAAAAGTTTAAAATGAGATTAAAGTGTGTAATTATTTTTCGAAAAGGGAAAATGACATGGAATGTGAGACGGACAGAAACAACAACGTGGATATGGTATGTGGGATGGAGGGAGTATTACTTACTAAAAATAATTATAGATTAAGATGAGATAACTAAATAGTTTAATTAAGATTAAAAAAATTAAATTTTAAAATATGATTAAAGTGTATAATCAATTTTTTTTAAAAAAATGACAAATTATGTAGAACGGACGAAAATAGAAAATAAAGACAATCTAGAATGTAGGGAGTACAATGTTTTGTAAAACAATTAATATACTTTTATTAAAAAAATATACCAATAAATAATTTTGATTTCAATTTGAAATAACAAAAATAAACCTTTAATTATTTTACCAATATGCTTGATGTCATTTTCCAAATTTTTTCACGTTCGTTGCTCTAGAATCTTGTTTGGGCCCATAGTATTATCATTGCATAATGATACGTCCCCATCACTATATATATATATATAATTTTTTGTTTTCTCAATAGTATACTTAAAAATTAGATTTATACTTCATTCATCTCATTTTATTTGTTCATTATTTTCATTTTTGTCTGACACATCTTATTTGTTCTTTCATTTTAAGAAATATAATTGTACATTTTAATTATATGTTAAATTTTATAATCTATAGTATTTTAAATTTTAATTATACTATTTAATTATTTTAATTTTAATTTATAATTATTTTTACTAATAAATATTTTAAATTATCTCAATATGTATGTTTGTCTCATCAATGCGATCTCACATAGATTGTATAGAAGAGAAGAACTCATTTATATATTGGCGCGAGTCATGTGTCAGTGCATTCAATGACCTTATAAACTGATAATAATGCATACCTCAAGTGGTTTGATATCGATGTTGCAAATAATTCCATTCCGATAGTCCGTGAGATCCTTATTGTTGAGGGGGGCGCCGTAGAAATGACAACAAGAGCAACCGGTGCAGAAAAGTCGCCAGTAATATAGCAACTTTTTATGAATTCAGCCTACAAATCATAATTATCACCAGAAAGAATAACAGTAATCCAAGAAGCGTCTACACGATCCATATTAAGAGCTATACTATGAAGCTAGAAAATCAAAAATAGTGTAGCGTGCACAAAAGAATTGTGCAGAAAATCAGACTGAACAAGTCAACCCAGTAACAGTCGCAAAATAAATTCAAGTCAGATGGCAAAACTGACCATACAAGGATATCGGGAATCGAAGTAGGAGACGGCGGCCGGAAATTGCCGGAGGCGGCGGGAAGGCAGCAGTCGCCAGAGGGATACGAAGTCGATTTGCGTCGGAGGCGCGTGCGGCTGCCCCGCATGCCAGCGTCCGCGGCGAAAGCAATGAGGATTAGTAACTATGTCTATCCCAGAAGAAAAATAAGCTCTAATACCATATTTGAATATTTGCGGAAAATAAAAATTATATATTAACCAAAAAAAGAGTGTTTCAATATGCATATATATATATATGCATATATATATGTGGGCCCCAAATGACAATATATAAAAAATATGCTAACACCTTCGTCATTCAAATTTATACTCACTTTTCTTTTTGGGTTAGTCATAAAAAATTATTCTTGTTTTTTTTTTAAGTAAAAAATCATTATACTTTTATATTTATTTTTACTATAAAAAAATAACAATTATTACTCACTTTGTTTAAAACTCGTGCCATATTAAATGAGCACATATTTGCTTTACGAGGCAGTATTATTCTTTTTGTAAATGATAGATCGAGCAAATTCACACCTTTAAAACCAAATATAATTTTCGTCGCCATCATTGAACTGTGTGCCTATATATATATATATATATATATATGAGCATTGAGCAAGGAAACCCTCGTGAGGCTGACGAGTGAGAAATACTATAAAGAATGGCATGGTGCCTCTCGACCGTACACTTTCCGGCTGCTCCATATTCATATAATACTTCCGATAGATTCGCCGGCGCCGCTCTCCGACTCCGCTCGAAGCTGCCGGACCGCCGATCCCAACATTCCCCACGTTTAGGTCCACCCTATCATTTTTTTTATATACTCTCGTCCCATATAAATTGTCCTATAAATAATTTAATTAAAATAAAAAATTATAAATTATGATTTTTAAAATTTTTTGTCAATCCTATGAAGGATGACCTCTAATAAATTTATTCATCTTAAATGTATAAATTAATTTAATTAAATTTTTAATTTATTAGGACAACTCAAAACTTTTTTATTTTTATCTCTCTAAGCAATAAACAATTTATTTTTAAAAATTTAAAAGTTATCATTTTTTATAAAATTATTTTTAACTTAATTATATAAATAAATATGTTTTTTTATTCATTTGTATTATATAAAATTTTATTATCAACAAAATAACCTCCATATTGTATATATTTTATTGAAATATAATCCTATAAATATTTAAAATGCTAACGACACTACTCATATAAAAAATAATAAAATAATATTTTAACTTATTATTAATAACTTATTCATCTACACTACTTAAAAATACTGTGTCCGTCCGTTACAAAATAGTTCATCTCTTGCGGGACGGAGAAAAAATCAATTATTTAATATAAATATATATATATATATATATTTATATTATCATACCGTTTTTCACATATAGAAAAACATCTTAAATAAATCTTTTTTCATTTTTCAAATTCAATTTTAATGGATATAATTTACCAACTCATTTTGGTTCTCAATTTAGTTCAAGTAGTTTATTATTTAAATTTCCTTATTTAGTTAGTTTTTGTTTACTATGTGTTCTTGAATGTAGATGATTTTTATACTACGTGTTTTTGAATGTATATGATTTTTATACTACTTTAGTCCGACTCTAAGAGTTTCATTTACTTTTTGCGTATAGATCTTTTAATATTAATTATAATATCAAAACGTAGTACAAATTAAAAAAAAAAATTATAAAAATACTTTCATTAGTGTTTTATAATACTAATAGAAGAAAATTTGTACAAAAAATTATACAAATATAAATATATTTTTAATGTTAAGCAAAATGACGCAAAAGGTAAATGTGACTCTGAGAAACGAACGAATGTAGTATTAAGTATGAAAATTTTTATTGATAATATAAAAAATAATATTTTGTATTAATATGTATATATATTGGATTTTTATAATAGTATTTATAAGAAATCATTTCACCTAAAAACAATACGTGAACAAGAAGTTACATCCATAGTTTAGTTTCTTTTTTTTTTTTTTTTTATAAACCCTCAGTCGAACTTAATACCATACAAACTAAATTCGACGGAAAAATCACACTAGGCGAACCATGTGTGGCAAGTCCAACCCCTACACTACCAGACCATCCCTTACGGACAATCTAGTTTCTTTTCTTAATTTTGGTTTTGATGGATTTACTAATTTTTGTTTTGATTTTAGTTAAACTAATTTATTATGTTTCTTTACCCTTACACTATTATGCGATTGGACTATTTCTAGTTTTCTTCTTCTTTTTTCTGTTGTTTTTTTACATATAATTATTTATACGCTTTTCAATATATAATACTCTCTCCGTCAAGCTAGAAAGTATACATATTTTTTTTTTGAAACGTCCAATTATAAAGTAAATATTTCATTAAATACCTTACTTTTTTCCACAAATACCCCCACTTTACATCATATCATTACTTTTACACCAAAAAGCAAGGGCAAAAATGTCATTACACTACTTTTAACTACCCAATATAATTAAAATACTATTATTTCTTAAACACTGCGCCAAAAGTAATTGTATACTTTTTTGTGGATGGAGGGAGTATATATATTTTATTTTCTTACAAAAAATTAATACTTAACATTAAAATATTACTTATTTTATATTACCGATATAATTTATTATACTTAATATAAAAAAATAAATACTTCTAACTAAAATAATAAACAAACATAGGGTGTATTTGTTTGAGGGTTTGGATTTTGAGTTGGGATTTGAATAGTAAAAATTTTGAATTTGAATAGTTGTATGATGTGATATTAATAGGGTTTGATGTGATGTTTTGAATGTAAAATTGATTTTTAGTATAATATAAAAAATGAAAAATAGGTGTTTGATTTGATGTTTTTGGGGGGAAAAAATTGGATGAATAGTGGAAATCCACCAAAATCCTTCAAACAAACACACCCTATATATTTTTAGATGAAGTTCACAATTTTTAAGATTATATATGATATTTTTATATATAATTATTTTAAAGATTATTTGTAAAACAAAATTAAAATAAAATTTTCTAAGTAAAAGAAATAGATTTTGTATTACTTTTTTATTTATTTATTTTCTTATATAAATTGTTTTGATGTTTATTTTATAAATATTTATTTTAAATTATTTTTTTTATAAATAATTTATTAATGATAAGTTTATTTGTATAATTCAACATATTCCCATTGTCTTACAAAAATATGGGATTTTGATTGATACTTTTCTGTTATTTTTGCTTTTTTATAGTAAAAAAATATAAAAAATTGTATAATATTTTATTAAATAAAAAAATAAGAATATTTTTAAAGACGAACAAAAAATAAAAAGTGGGCACATTTTTAGAAGACAAGGATAATATAATTGTTTAAAATAATGTGTACATATTTTTGTACAAAATATTATATATTCTTTCTATATTCTAATTCAAAGTACCATTTTTATTATTTTCGTATGTTTTACTCAAAAATATTTTTTTTTTCTCTTTTCAGTAAAAATAGTAATACATTAATATCAAATACCATTTAATTTTTACATAAATTATAAACATATCATTACACATACAATTAATTTATACCTAAAATCAAAAGATAAAAATATCAAAATCTCTTGTACACTTCTACCAGTGAAATATTGTATTATTTTTTAATTTACTATAAATCCTAAAAAAAACCCCTTTGAAGAGAGACGAATGGGGTACTTTATTTAAAAGTGTAAGTATATATATTTTATATTAATAGACACACTTCAAATAATTTAAAAATTAATTGAAAATTGATTTATTAAAATTTTAAATTATTTTTAAAATATTTTTAAATATATATAAAATTTTATCAAAAAAAACTTCAATTATAATCTATTTTTTTAAAAAACAAATATTTGTGGTATATTTTAGAAAATACTGATTATATTTTAATCATTTTATGATATATATATATATATACTAACCTTAAAAATATCAACTATTAACAATATTAGAGTTTTTGGTGAGATAATTATAAATTATTTTTACTAAAATAAATGCGTACATTAATGAATATATATATATATATATACAAAAATGTACTTGAGCCTAAAATAAAATATAAAATAAATAAGTAATATAAAGAACAATACAAATAACAATAATATACTATATAGCTAACAAGTAATTTTAAATTTAAATTTAAATTTATACTTCTATTTACATAATATTTTCATATTTATTGATGATATAAATATTATATACATTTTATTCTAATTTATAGAATCTTGACTCACCCTACTCATTTTCTAGCTAGGCCAAAATGTTGGATATTATAGATCTAATATCTTATGATTTATATTAATACTTCATTCGTCCGGCTGTAAAAGTCTTATTTATTTTTTTCATATTGATATTTGAATATTAATTATTACATCAAAATGTAGTATAAATTAATAAAAAATTATAAAAATACTTCAATTAGTGTTTTATAATATTAATAGAAGAATATTTGTACAAAAACTTATACAAATATAAGGATATTTTTAATGTTAAGTACAATGACACAAAAGTTAAATGTGACCCTTAGAGACGGACGGATAGAGTATTATACAAAATCAAATTATCATAATATAACAATTGTTCACACAATACTCCATTCGTCCCTTAACAAACTATCTATTTTTTTTTTCATTTTGGTCCGGTCAATAACAAAGTATCCGTTTATATTTTTAGTAACGGTAATATCTACCTAGCATTACAAATATCCTTTCAATTTACAATATATTATACAAATGATATTACTTTTATATCATATAATAGTAATAATGTTAGTTTAGTCTTTTTATCTTTATTTATGCTGCATCTCAATATAATACTAATATTTCTAAAACTCCGTGCAAAAAGTAAATGAATAGATAAATATGAGACGGAGAAAGTATATGTTATCATTGATTGCCATTACATCCTAAAGATATATACAATACATGTTTTTAAGAGTAATCATGTATTGTCTATAAAATACAAAATATTACCGCTATCCCACTTAATTTGTTCATTTTTTTCACATTCATTCGTCCCACATAAATTGTCTCTTTCTTTTTTGGAAATATAATTATACATTTTAATTATATTTTAAAATTCATAATTTATAAATTTTTTTTTATTTTAATAAAACTATTTAATTGTTTTAATCTTAATATATAATTATTTTTATTATATCGTAATTATTTTTACTAATACACTTTTTAATTACTTACTAATTATATTATATCTAAAACTTCGTATCCAGCTAAAGTGGACAAATTAATTGGAACGGAAAGAGTAACAATTATTGATTGAAATCAACGTAGTGTTGATTAACTCATTTACACCATAAACACTTTCAAATAGCTCAAAAATAAGTTGAACTAATTTTTTTGTCATATTTGGTGTGTAATTTTTTAGGTTGTGTTTATATATATATATTATATATTAGACAATAATTTATGTGATATTATAAAAAAATAATATTAAGAAAATATACAAATAAACAATGTACCACATACGAAAAAAATCATAAACCAATTCCGATAAAAATAAAATAAAATAAAAAATAAAATCATAAACCAAACAAATAGTATTACATAAGCATTTGTTTTTTTAATACCATATTTATTTATTTATTTTTGTTTTTAAAATTAAATAACAAAATCTAAATTTTCGTTCATATTCAACACTATGTCAGACTTTTCATTCAACTATTTGTTTGTAAATTTTGGAATCGTATTCGAGGTATTAAATACTTCGTCCGTTCCAATACAATTGTCTTATTTATCGTTTTTGTCCGTCCCAAAACAATAGTCTCATTTTCATAAATAATCATATCACTATAAAAACTACATTTACTTTTTCATTATTATTACACAATTACTATTACTTTTTACACTAATATACTCACAGTAGCAAAAAAATCTTTTACCCGTATTTTTTACTCACTATCAATATAATATCAATATTTCTTAAATCTCGTGTCAAACCCAACCTAGACTATAATTTTAGGACGGAGAGAGTAGTAAATTTTAAATCAAAATAGCTGTTTTATGCGATATAAATTAGTATTTAATGTGATATTTTTTAATATAAAATTAATTTTTAATATAGTAAAAAATATATATATTTGATTTCATATTTTTTGAGGTAAAAGTTTTCCAAAATAAAAATCTTTAAAAAAATGCAAGCATAGGATTATTTAGTTTTAATTTAATTTAAAATTAAATAATATTAAATTTAAAATTATGCCAATCACACTCAAAACATAAATGGGCAAATGGCAAACTAATTTTTGTGATTAACATTGCTATTTATGTATATTTTTCTTGGAGCTGTGTGTAGGATTTTAGCCAGAATTTTATTACACCTTCCGTCCCAAAGCTATAGTTTGGGTTGGGTTTGGTACGGAAAAAAATATTAATATTATATTGGTAGTGGGTAAAAAGTACGGGTAAAAATTTTTTTTGCCATTGTGAGTGTATTAGTGTAAAAAGTAGTGACAATTGTGTAATAATAATAAAAATGTAAAGGTAGTTTTATAGTGATATGGTTATTTATAAAAATGATACTATTGTTTTGGGACCGACAAAAATGGTAAACAGGACTATTGTATTGGGACAGAGGGAGTATTATTTATTAAAAAAAATTCTTTAAAAATATTAAATAAAAAATTATTTTGTATTTTTTTTTATAATATTATACTAAAAATTAATTTTAAATACAAAATATCAATTTAAATTTATACTTTCATATCTCTCCATTCACATCATCATTTTTATTATTTTCGTTTATTTTATACAAAGTGTACCTTTTTTCTATTTTAGTAAAAATAAGCGTATATTAATATCAAAATACCGTTAATTTTTTTTTAAATTACAAACATATCATTATATACAATTATTTTATATATAAAATCAAAAGACAAATATCAAATTTTTTATAAATTTTTACTAACCAATAAAATATTATTATTTTAAATTTATTACAAAACCTTAAAAAGATATACTTCATCCGTCTCACATAATTTTATCATTTTTTTTTTAAAATATAATTAGACAGTTTAAAATTAAAAAATTATAATTTTTTAATCTTAATTAAACTATTTAGTTATCTTAACTTTAATTTATAATTATTTTTACTATACAATAATTACTTTTACTGATATACATTTCTTAATTACTTACTAATTATACTTTACCTATCTACAGTAACGAGCCCATATTATATGGGACGGAAGGAGTATTTGAGTGAGAGGAAAAAAGTACTTCCTCCGTCCTAATACAATAGTCTTATTTACTATTTTTGTCCGTCTTAAAACAATAGTCTTATTTTCATAAATAACCATATCATTATAAAAAATACCATTATTTTTTCATTATTATTACACAATTGATACTATTTTGTACACTAATACACTCATAAAAGCAAAAAGTCTTTTACCCATATTTTTTTATCCATTGTTAATATAATATCAATATTTCATAAATTTCGTATCCGGCAACAAAGACTTTACTTCTGGAATGGAAGGAATTTTGTTTTTACCATTCAAAATTCAATGCCCAACTCCAAACCAGCAACTATATATGTATAGCTCTAGAAAAGTCGAGAATGTTGTGAAAAATTATAGTATTTTGGGTATGTTTCTTATGCCAAAACTCTTGATTATGGGTTTTAGTTTTTGGATTTGGATTTTTGAATAGTAAAAAGTTGAATTTGAATAGTTGTTTGATGTGATATCAATAGAAGTTGATGTAATATTTTGAATGTAAAATAAATTTATATTATAATATAATAAGAGAAAAATAATTGTTTGGTGCAATAATTTTGGAGAAAAAAAAATAATCTAAATAGTAAAAATATATGGTAAAATTTACCAAAGAACACAACACCAAATTTAAACCAAAATTTTCCCAAATCTTTAAAAAAAAAAAAAAAAAAAAAAAAAAAAAAAAACACAGTTAATTATTAATTATATGTGAACAGAAATAGAGGCCGCAGGGAACACCTACGGAACTTATTTCCGGGTAACAACCTTCGGAGAATCTCACGGCGGCAGTATAGGGTGCGTTGTTGATGGATGTCCTCCCAGGCTTGCTCTCTCCGAACCTGATCTGCAGCTAGATCTAGACAGAAGGTATACATACAGATTATTTTACTACTGATTTCATTTCTCAAGCTGAAAACCTTGAAATTAGGTTTAAATTAGATACTATTTTTGGGGGATTCGTGGAAAGAAGAGCAAATTAAATCAGTTACGCATACATAGGTCGATTGTGAATTTTGATTTGATGTGTTTTAGGAGGCCTGGCGAGAACAGGATAACGAGCCCTAGAAAGGAGAGCGATACTTGCAAAATAGCTTCTGGAATTGCTGATGGTTGGTTACCTAATTGAATCAAATATTCAAATGTTATTAATTGCTATTCACTGCGATGTATTGATACTAATTCAGCTATGGCGCTGGGTTGGTGGGTTGGTTCATTTGGCATGGTTGCACTCTAGCAGCGCCGAGCAAGGGGCATTGCCTTTTTTTTTTTTTTTTTTTAAAAAGAAATTTTTTAATTTTTAAATATATTTTTTATTTTTCTAAATTTTAAAAAATATATTTTAAATTATAAAAATAATTTTTTTTAAATAATAGAAAAATTGAATATTTGAATTATAATAATAAAAAATAGATTGTGATTACAGTGAAATTACTATAGAAACTGCATATTTAGAGTTAAATGGATTGGAGATAGCCTTATTGAGTACTGATTGGCTGTAGGTTTAACGACCGGATCTCCGATCAAAGTGGAAGTTGCAAATACAGGGCAAAGAGGAGCTGTAAGTATCAAATATTCATTTTTCTCTTTTTACTACTCCCTCCGTTCCACTCACTCAAGCTGCGTCCACTACAAGAAAAAATCATTTTTGTAACAAAACTTTTTTGTCTCTAAATCTACTTTTTCCGTTACTAATGACATTAGAGACGGAATTAGTAATGGAATTACATTAACTACGTGAACTTTAGTGACGGAATTCCGTTACAAATATATTATTTTTTTGTAGTGGTCGTCGCAGATGGCTACGTTCCTTTTTTATATGTCCTATAAAAGATGATATTTTTCTATTTTTATTAAATTTATTATATCTTTTTAATATGCTTAACAAATATAAATTAATTTAATAAAATTTATAATTTTTTACTTTCAATCAAATACCATTTATTTCTATTTCTTTCGTTATAAACAAATACTTTTATCTATATTTAAAATTTTTTATTTTTTATTAAATTAATTTTAAGTTAATTATAAATAAATAAATAAATATTTTTATTTATTTATAATATATCAAATTTTATTATCTAATAAAATGATATTCATATTCCATATATTTTATTGAAATATTATCTAAAGATATTTAAAATACCAACAATATTATTCATATAAAAAATAATAACATAGTATCATAATTTATTATTAATTAATAACTTACTAATTATACTACCTAAAATAACATGTCCCTGACAAAATAGCTTATCTTTGCTGGGATGGAGGGAAATTACAAAATAACAAAAGAATTTTTATTATATCTGATCATAGATTGAAAATTTATATTTTATATTTGAAATATTATTAGAGAGAAAATTGGTTATTTTCCGAAAATAATAATATATTACACACTTTTATTATTTTTATATTATTTGTACACTTCCTTATAATTTACAAAAGAAAATATATCTCTTCTAATCATTTTACAAAACAAACAAATCCATAATTTTTGGTTCCATTGTAAATTATAATAATCAATAATAGTCTCATTAAAAAAAATATTTATTAATCAATTTTTTTAGTCTCATGATAGTTGACATAGATTAAAAGGCTAACTAAGCGGCGCGGTAAACATTGAACACTAACACTGTTGAGTTTATACATTTGTTTAAAATATTCATATTTTAGGTCACGTTCACGATCTTGTTTTGAACATCACCGTGTTCTAAGTAATGTTCATTTTTTTAAAAAATTATTTAGTGTATATATAATGCAATTCAAATATGTTTTACATTATTTAAAACTATAAAAACATAATCAAATTGAATGTTTTAAAATATTATTGTAGTGAGATAATTTGAAGGATATGTTTTTTATATGAGATATGGGTAATTGTGCGGTGAATATAAAAATAATATGTGTAATATATTAATATTTTTGAAAAATACGTATATACATTTTTTTTGTTAAAAGAATATACTACCTCTATTTACTTTTTGTTTTCAATTTTATTACCATTCAACATACCAATTTTTAATGAAAAATACTTCATTCCTTTGGGGTTTTAAGAAATCATAGTATTTATTGATCGGTGGTGGAAGTGTGTAAAGATTTTGACTTTTTTATAAAATAATTGTATGTGTAATGATATATTTATAATTTAAATAAAAATTAAAAGTATTTTAATATTAGTGTGTGATCATTTTTAGAAAAAAAAAAAAATACTTTTGAATACTTTGAACTAGAGAAAGTATTACATCCCGCAAGCTATTTAATCTATAAATCGCGGGTGCGTTTCTTTTGATGAGTTTGAAAAAAAATTGGTTTGAGTTTAGTATGAAAATATTGTTTGATAGGTGAGGAAAAAAATGTATTTTTTTCGGAAAACGCAGAGTCTAAATATACCCGAACAATGTAAACAAACAGGTAATAGTTGTATGCTTGTCATTGAGGTCCTTTTTTTATTTTTATTTCTTTTGAGTATACGATGCTCATAAGTCAATATGGTATTTTAAATAATTAAAGTAAAACATATTTACAGTTTTGACGAGTACCATGAATGACTGAGGGTATGTTTTTTTAAATGGTTTTGAAAAAAAATTGATTTGACTTTGGTATTAAAATAATATATGATGAGATTATTTGTGAGAGAAAAAAATTGTATTTTTTTTTTTTTTTGTTTTTAAAAACGCAGATTTTAAATAGTAAAAACTGGAAATTTTGAATAAAAGAAATATTGTAAGAAAATTGAGAGTTTATTTATTATTTATTTTTTCAGAATATTTGAGGGATTCTTTAGGTTTTATTTTTCTTTACTTTTGAGTTTTTTTTTTTTTTTTTTCCTTCAATTTTATTTCTATGCAATTCTACACAACTGCCTATAAAAATATACTAATTTTTTATATGAAAAAATTTATTACATCCAATCAGCTATTTCATGTAAGAAACACTAACACAATGTAAACAAACCAGTAACAGCTATATGCTCGTCATCATGAATCTCTTTTTTTTTTTTTTTTGTTGTTTTTTTTTCTTGGTATTTATGATGCTCATTAAGTCAAATATGGTGATCATCTGCCTGTAGGACTACAGTGACATGTCAGTGGCTTATAGGCCATCTCATGCAGATGCAACTTATGATTTCAAGTATGGTGTAAGATCAATCCAGGTAACTAAGATCCCATTGCATTACATTTAATCAATTATGACTGTGGCCAAGATATTATTGTTTAATGGAATTCAGGGCGGCGGTAGATCTTCTGCAAGAGAAACCATTGGGAGAGTTGCTGGTGGAGCTATTGCAAAGAAGATTCTGAAACAATATGCAGGGACTGAAGTAAGCTAGCTCTTTATTACTTAGTATTCTCTCCGTTCTAAACTCAAAGTACCTGTTTTACCATTTTCGTCCATCTCGCTCCAAAGTATTCATTTCCTATTTTAGTAAAAGTAATCATACACTAATACCAAAATACCCTTAACTTTTACTTAATTTACAAACATAACATTACACATACAAAGTCAAAGACAAAAATGTCAAAACCTTACACATTCCACTGACTAATAAAATATTATCATTTTTTAATCTACTACAAAATCCAAAGGCACCTGATAAAAGAAAAAAAGTAATAAAATATAAGAATAATAATAATAAGGCTGCCCCCGTAGTGATCCGGCCAAATCACCATGGTGCTGATTTAGCAGGATTAACATATGTCATATGCGTGACCAACATATGTTCATATATATTTCAGCATATGCTGAGTTAAAATATAATATATGTTGTATTATAAATGTTGAGATATTTTAGATATTCAATTTTAGATTTAGTGGATTTATGTCTAGATTTGATCTTATTAATAGATTAGATTACTTAAATATAAGTTTATCGAGTCTATTTTGCATTGCTATATATAGGTTTTTTCTTTTGATGATCAATAACACAATCTCATTATTTTCCCCCAAAATTTCTAACATGGTATCAGAGCATATTTTTCTCATACAGTAGATATAGCCTACCAACCCGTGTTTCTTCGGGTACATTCAACCTGGATTGTACCCGGAGGTCTTGTGATTTTGAGATCATGCATTTGCAAGTTGTCTTTTTGCAAATCTGTCTCGTCTCGTCTCCGATCTGCCATCTGTCCGCTGCTTATCTGTTGACTGTGTGCAATCTGAAATCTTCGTTGCTTGTCTGTTGCCTGCGAGCGATCTAAAACGATCTGCCATATGTCCATCGTCTGTCTGTTGCTGCGTGTGATCTGTCATCTGTCGTTGCCTGTCTGTTGTCTGCGTGCGATCCGCCATCTTTCGTTGCTTATTTGTTGCCGAAAATCTGTCTATGATCTGCCATCTGTCCGCTGTTTGTCTCTTGCCTGCGTGCGATTTGATATTTCTGATGTTTGCGATTTGTCTGTTTTAGGTTCCGGTGGAGTCATTTCGTTTTCGACTCCGATGGAGTCATCTCATTTTCTGCTCCGATGGAGTCATTTCGTTTTCGGCTCCGGTGGAGTCATGTGGTTTTCGGCTCCGATGGAGTCATGTCGTTTTCGGCTCCGATGGAGTCATGTCATTTTAGGCTCCGTTGGAGTCATCTCGTTTTTCGGCTCCGGTGGAGTCATCTTATTTTCGGCAACGGTGGAGTCATTTCGTTTTCGGCTCTGGTGGAGTCATGTCGTCTTCGGCTCCAGTGGAGTCATGTCACTTTAGGCTCCGGTGGAGTCATCTCGTTTTCGGCTCCGGTGGAGTCATGTCGTTTTTTGCTCCGGGGTGGAAAGTTGTCTCGTTTCCGGCTCCAATGGAGAGTCAACTATTATTTTTATTTATGTTTTTGTTTTTGCGTTTATGTTCAACTTTCTTGTCAAACTTAAGTTGGATTATGTTATACCATTTGAGTTTGAGGGGATGTTGAGATATTTTAGATATTCAATTTTAGATTTAGTAGATTTATATCTAGATTTGATCTTATTAATAAATTAGATTACTTAAATTTGAGTTTATCGAGTCTATTTTTTATTGCTATATATAGGCTTTTTCTTTTGATGATCAATAACACAATCTCATTATTTTTCCGCAAAATTTCTAACAATTAATATGCTGAGATATGTATAAATACGATGACCATTCCTATAATATATGTTGATTCGGTCAAATCAGCATCATGCTGACTTGACGGGATCAGCAGCTGATCCATGCCCCACTAATGTGGGGTTTAAATTTAAGAGAAACTAATGAGCTGATGGAAAATATCAGAAGCGCTGTTAGTATTTCATAAATCTATTTGTTCTTGGCAGATTCTAGCCTATGTTTCACAAGTGCACAAAGTTGTCCTTCCTGAGAACTTGGTTGATCATGAAACTCTAACACTTGATCAGGTATATATAAACAATCATCTGACTCTTTTTTTTTGTTCTGCAAATGATTGTATTGTATGTCTTGACATATTTTAGTTATTGAGTTTTTTAGATTAGATTGTTATAAATTTAGTTTTATCCATATGTTAGGTTGTTATGATTTGAGCCTATATGTAGGTCTTTATTTTGATTATGAATAATAATGCAATTTTTGAGTCGTTTACAATTTATTTCCCACAGTATATATATGCTAGCAGCACTAATTTGTTCGATACAAGGATGATGAGTAAAATAAAGCCTAATTGGGAGTTCAAATCTTCACCTTAAATCAATCTATTGGCTTGTTCTGAATAATAAGTCCTTAATTTAGCTTACCATGTTTTCTAATTTAAACTTCATTTCCTCTTTATGTCATCATAACTTGTTCTTGTTAAAGAAAAAAACCAATGTCTATAGTTTTGATGTTGCCAGGTAGAGAGTAATATTGTGAGGTGCCCGAATCCTGAGTATGCCGAAAAAATGATTGCTGCTATTGACACCGTCCAAGTGAAAGGTGACTCAGTTGGCGGTGTTACTACCTGCATTGTTCGGAATGTCCCAAGGGTATCCCTATCTCCTTGCACAACTTTTTGTATTTGCTACTCTCTTGCGCGCTCTCTCTCTCTCAAAAAAAAATTTAAAGGTGTGTTTCTTTTGATTGGTTTGGAAAACAGTTTGATATTAAAATAAGATTTAATGAGATATTTTGTGAAAAATATATATATATTTATAATTTTTCGAGGTTTGGGTCTAACATGATCACGATCAGTGATATATACATGGTCAATATCTCTAGCTATGAAGCTATTATGAAGTGTAGCGAAATTAAGTGAAATCAAGATGAAAATATAGGTACGAAAGAGGAGAGTTTGGTGAACCTACGCCAAGGGTGGCCAAACTTTAGGGTGTGTTTGTTTCAAAAATTTGGAAGGATTTACATTATTCACACAAAATTCCCCCCCTCCCCCCAAAATATCAAATCGAACACTAATTTTTTATTTTTTACATTCAAAACATCACATTAATACTTATTTATATCACATCATACTATTATTCCAATTTAAATTTTTTACTATTTAAATCTCAACTAAAAATACAAACCCTCAAACAAACACAACGTTCGGTAGTTTGTTTTAGATTTTAATTTAAGAGATAGTACAAGTAAATGTAGGCAATAAAAGTAAAAACCCAAGTGATACTCTTTTCCAAACTTTCACAATATAACTTAGAATCAAAATATGTACCTCTTTTCGTTGTTAGGGTCTTGGCTCTCCGGTGTTTGATAAGCTTGAAGCTGAATTGGCGAAAGCCGTTCTTTCATTACCTGCGTCGATGGGGTTTGAATTTGGCAGTGGATTTGCAGGTGATGAATGTAGTTATTTGGTGTTGAATAATTCATCTTCATAGATCTTGTGGTATATATCAAAGATTTTACTAAAATGAACCTTTCTAGGTAGCCTTTTAGTTTACTGAGAGACATTATACATTGAGTTCTAATATATATCCTTGTAATGAAAATTGATCAGGTACATTTATGAGTGGTAGTGAGCATAATGATGAATTCTACATGGACGAACATGGTCGAATTAGAACACGAACAAATAGATCTGGTGGAATACAAGTAAGGTTTATTAATACTTGCTTCTTGATCATATGTTTGTTCATCATTTTCATTGCAATTTTAGGGTGGAATATCTAATGGAGAAACTATCAATATGAGAATAGCTTTCAAGCCAACACCTACAATCTTTGTAAGTGATCTCTCTCTCTCTCTAGCTCTCTGTCTCCCTAGCGCTCTCTCTCTCTCATGATGCTCATTTCTAGATTTACTCCCTCAGTCTCGGAAAAAATATATATTTGGGTTTTCGTAGTAAATTAAAAAATAATAATATTCTTGATTAGTAGAAATATATAAGATAATTTTGATACTTTTATTCTTTATACTTATGTATATATGTAACAGTATATTTATAATTTATATAAAATTTAAAAATATTTTGATATTAGTGTGTGATTTGATTATAGGAGACAATAGATATTTTTAAGTAGACGGACAACAATGGTTAAGAGAATACTTTCAGTTTGGACTTAGGGAGTATTTGGTTTTATGACTAATCCAATATCTTAGTCATTTTTTTAGCATACTTTTGAGCTCTTGATATATACTTGTACTCATTTTTGTAGAGTAATAGTTTTTGTATTTCTAGTAAAAAATTATATTTATGTATTTTTCTTTTTGCATTTTTTTATTATTATTATTATAAAAGATAAAAATACCAATTATTATCTATCTATATTAAAAATTATGTCCAAAAGTATAAGTACCTTTTGTTTACGACAGAACAAGTATATATTCATGTTTTAAAAATTTTAATGTTGATGAATAGTTTACAAGTTCCATATATATATATATATATAAATAAATATATTAGAAAGTCACTTTCAATATATACCTCCGCTATTATTATAAATATTTATTTATTTTTTTTTTTTTTGTCATTGAAAAATTTTAGTATATCTTTCTATTGAATGATCACACTCATTATATTTTTTCTTATATATAAAGAAATAAAAATACAAGTTATTACTTATTTACATTAAAATTTCTGCTTCAAAGTATGAATATACTCCTTTCGTTCGTTTCTAAGGGTCATATTTATGTTTTGCGTCATTGTACTTAACATTAAAAATATTTTTGTATATTTTTTTTTTTACAAATGTCCTTCTATTAGTATTATAGGACACTAATGGAAGTATTTTTACAATTTTTTCTTAATTTGTACTATATTTTGATAGGACAGAGGTAGTATATTTTTTTTATTACAGAGATTTATATGTTTAGTTTTTCTCATTTTTGAAACAATATGTGATTAGTCCCCTTTGATACAATACATTATTAGTTCAATTCACTCAAAGAACCTTCTCACGTTGGCTTTAAATACAAAATAATATTGTCCCGTCTCGTGATACGAGGGTAGACTTGTGTAAGGTGAATAAGGTGTTTTTATTTCCATGAATATTCGTATTTTGTGTCGTAGTTAACAATTTTCCAAAAAAAAGCCACAATAGTTACCCTTTCGAACATTTACTATGAGTTGTTAACTTACAAAACAACTAGCGCAACATTAACGAACAATTTGGCAATACTCTTTGCAGATAAAGCAGAACACTGTTACTAGAGATGGACACGACACAGAGCTCAAAGTTCGTGGTCGACACGATCCTTGTGTAGCTCCACGAGGTAAGCAAGCCCGACGATGAATTAAAGGTTTCCATGTATTTTATATTATTGCATTGATAGATAAGTGTCTCCTGACATTTCTCGATGAATGAATGTGTTATTGCAAAGTTGTTCTCAATGCACGCGGCTCGTACCTTTTTTTTTTTTTTTTTTAATTATGTGATCGGTGGTTGATATGCAGCTGTTCCGATCGTGGAAGCAATGGTGGCGCTGGCGCTCGTCGATCAATTACTGGCTCAGTATGCACAATGTATGCTCTTCCCGATCAATCCGGCATTGCAAGAACCTCTAAGATGGCCAAATAATGAGCGGGCACAAGTCTCCCTCTAAGGCCATCCGGAGATGCGCCACATCATTTTATTATTTGTTTGTTTTTAGAAAAATGAGATATTTACTTCCCAACATCCGGCGGAAAGAGAAAGTGACGTGGAAGACAAAAAGTAATGGAGATTTATTGTAGACATTCTCATGCTCTTCCTTTGTTCTTTACTTCTAACATTTTTATTTATTTATTTATTTATTGCTATTTACAGTTTTTCTCATCCACTTAGGGTGTGTTTGTTTGAGGTATTTGCTTGGATTTTTACAATTCATCCTATTTTTTTCCCCAAAAATATCAAATCAAACACCTATTTTTTATTTTTTTTATTATACTAAAAATCAATTTTACATTCAAAATATTACATCAATATCTATTTATATCACATCATACAACTATTCAAATTCAAAATTTTTACTATTCAAATCCCAACTCAAAATCCAAAACAAACACACCCACCCCTGGTATATATTTTGTTATTTTTTATTATTCAAACAAAAAAAAATATCTATTTCTTTATATATTTTTAATAAATATGGACTCATTGTATATTGCTAATGCCTTTATATTTATATTTATATATTTTTTCATAATAATTTTACATATCATAAAGATAAAATAGTCTTTATATACAAAATTATCACTAACTATCATTAAAATAAAATATTTATTAAACACAATGCAAAAAAATAAATAAGGTTTATCTATGAACCACCTTGATCAGATCACGGGACCCCACCACTTGATTTCTATATATTATTTATATATATTAATTTTTTATTTTTCTTTTAATTAAAATGGGCCCAAAATACAAATTTTAATTATATATTTCTTTTTTATAATTATTTTAAATGATTATATTTAATTTTTTTAATAATTAATTATATAATATATTATTTTTATCCTCTCTAGAATGATTTGGGTATTGATTTAGTTTTTTCAAATTTCTATATTTGGACTGCAATTATCTTTTCCATGTCAGCTATTTTAAATTTTTCTCAATTTATTTAATTTTTTTTTTTTTTTTTCGGCTCTAGATGTTATGGTTGTCTGGTTGCTTTTTTGAAATTTTAGATTGTGTAGTACATCTGTTGTGATTGTCTTGTGTGTTTTATTTTTAAAAAAAAATTGCTTAAGTGTTACAAATTGTAGAATTTTCGACATAGAAAAAAATTCAATAATAATTTATTAGATTGTATACTTACTTGAAAAAGTGGTTGGATCCGCCACTGTCATTGACTACTATATTTTAGGGGTAAGTAAAATATCCGAAATCTGAAAATTCAATCCGAATCAAACCAAAATTTAAAATTTGGTTCGGATTTTTCGGATTATCAGATTAGATCGGATTGAATTTTTAACAAATTTTGAATTTTCAGTATACTTAAATTCGAACTAATCCGAAATATAACATTTTAATATATTTTTTTATTATACATATTTAATATTTTATTAGAAAATATTATATTTTAATATAAAAAACTCAAATTTATCAATTATATTTTAATATATTTAATTTTTATATATTATATATATTTAATATTATAAAATAATAATAAAATTTAAAAGAAATTTAAAAATTAAAAAATAATTATAAAAATATTTAGAATTTCGGATTTTTCGGTTTGGTTCGAATTTTTTAGTTCGGATTACGGATTTTCGGATTTCGAATTTTGGTTATTTCGGTTCAGTCCGGATTAGTTTTTTAAAAAATTTCAAATTTTCGAATCGAAACTGAAAATCCGAATGCTCACCCCTACTACCTTTATTGGTAAATTTTTTGCTGATAAAACTTAAAATAAATTTGAATTCATAATTTCATAGTTACAAATTCATGCATGACACTAACTCCACCATGTCTAAAGAGGAAAGATGACTTTGTTTGATTTATCCAAAACTATCCTCTACTATTATATCAATACTATATCAATATTATTTTAAAATATATGTATATATATATATTCAAATAGAAATTACTTGTTAATTTATTTTTTTTATATATTTTATAAAATTAATTTATATATTTATAGATCTCTCTTCAAAATTTTATGTCATCACTTAAATATATTTTTCCCTCATTTTTTTTACATTATAATTAGAAGATAAAAAAAAAAATTTACAAATGGAAATGTCAAACTTTCATGTTAAATATATAATCAAATTATAATGCGTGAAAACATGGGGTGTGTTTTTGTTATGGTTCAAATATATTTTAAAGATATTCTTTCGACAGAGTTTTTCAATAAAAATATATTATTTTTTAAAAAAATTATTTTTTTTAAAAAAATTCAAATTAAATTATTTCAAACACAAACTAAATAAATCCAATATATACTACTGTCATTTTGTATTAGAATATTTTTAAAAGAAATAAATATTAAATATTTAAATAGTAAAAAATAATAATATTAATATTATAAAAACTTTCATCTTTATAAAGTTTTTTTTTTTTTACAATTTTTTTAAATTATTTTATATCTCAATTTTATTTTCAATATATTGCATTTAATATTTATTTTTACTAGAAAACATCAAACATAATTTTTTACCTTAAGAATATCAAACATTAAGAGGTTAAAAATTTTGGGAGAAAATAATGAGATTGTATCATTGATCATCAAAATGAGAGACCTATAGCCAATACAAAACAAACTCGATAGACTCAAATATAAGTAATATAATATATGGATAAGACCAAATATAAATATAAATTTACTAAATCTAAAACCGAATATTTAAAATATCTCACATTCCCCCTCAAATTCAAGTCGTATATCAGAAACCAACTAGAGTTTCATAAGAAAGTTGAATACAGACTCAAAATCGCAAATAAAAAATAACAGTTGACTCGGAGCCGAAAACGACATGACTCTCCACCGAAGCCGAAAACAAGTGACTCTCCACCGGAGCCGAAAACGATATGACTCTCTACCGGAGCCGAAAACGATAGGACTCTCTACCGGAGCAAAAAATGACATGACTCCCCACCAGAGTCGAAAACGATATGACTCTCCACCGGAGTCGAAAACAGTTGACTCCCAACCGGAGCCGAAAACGATATACCTCTCTACCGAAGCCGAAACAGATAGATCGCAAACACCAAACAAATCATAGAATTGATCGCAGAACAGATCGCTGACACCAGCTAGATCACAAACACCAAACAAATCATAGAATAGATCGCAGAACAAATCGCAGACATCGGACAAATTAGATCGCACGCAACTAACAAACAAGTAGCGGACAGATGACAGATCGCAGACAGATTTCAGATCCCACGCAGGCAACAAACAGACATCGCACAAATGGCAGATAACAGATAGATCTCAGATTACGCGCAGACAACAACGGTGAGATGACATAAAGCATACATATTTCAGAGACAGATTTGCAAAAATACATACGTGTAAAGCATGATCTCAAAATCACAAGACCTCCGGATACAATCCAGGTTGAATGTAACCAGAGAAGGTTGAATGTACCTGGAGAAACGTGGGTTATTAGGCTATATCTACAACATGAGAAAAATAGACTCTGATACCATATTAGAAATGTTGGGGAAAAATAATAAGATTGCGTTATTGATCATTAAAATGAGAGGTTTATATATAGATATATATATATATTATAGATAAGACCAATTCTAAATAAATTTATTAAATCTAAAATTGAATATTTAAAATATTAAAAAAAAAAAAATTGTGTGACAACACAACATAGTATGGACTTTAAAAATAAGCTCGAATATGTGTTTAACATAGCTCCCATCTCGGCTTGGGTTTTAAAAATAAATAAATAAAATATATTTTATTTTTATTTTTAGAATATAATAATAAACATACAACGTAATTAATAAATTCTAAATTCTTAGTTATAAAATGGAAGTATTAATTTATTATCATTTTTGTCTAAACTTTAAATTTGCACCGTTTGTTATTATTTTTGTTAAAAATTTTGGTCTTTCGAGTCCTAATTCATTTTATCCCTCAATAATATAAGAAATTAATTCACTCATTAGTTCGGTTCATCAAATTCGGCCCGAAACCTTTAATTTTAGCCCAAACTCAAGTCCTACCATTTGTTGTTTTAAAAAGCACGATACAATTAATAAAGTATACAGGAGAATGACGCCGAATTTTGAATCATATGTGTATTATTGATATTTTTGCTATTATTTTTTAAATAAGTATGACCCACTACACATTATTTATATCAATGTCATTACATCAAATAAAAATATAAAAACAAAAAAAAATTAAAAATGACAAATAATCCAAATAGACTCGAGACTCGTATTCGACTCATTTATTTTGGATCGGGTCCATTTTTCAAAGATCAGTTCGGGTATTATATATTCTCTCCATCCTTTAATAATCTATCCATTTTTTTATTTTGGTCTGTCCCATCAATTTCTTTCTTTTTTAATAATTGTACTATCTACGTAACATTACAAATACCTTTTCAAATTACAATATATTACACAAATGTCATTACTTTTATACCATACAATACTAATAGGGTTAATTTAGTCATTTTACCTTTATTTCTATTTTATCCCAATATAATACTAATATTTCTAAAAGTTCGTGCAAAAAACAAATGAATATATAGATATGAGACGGAGGGAGTATCTGAAAACTTGCATGTTATGCATTTTATTTTTGTTAATATTTTGTTATGGATTTCTAATGATTTTGTGAATATTTGATATCTTTTGTTGATTTATGAGTCATTTGACAAAATTAGTAAAAGAATAAGAGTAATTGAAGAGAATATGATCAGAAATGTTCGGATATGTAATCTATTTACCCAATGAAATAATATTTGATGAGATGTTTTGTGATAAAAAAAAATGTATTTTTTTCCGAAAACGCAGAGTTTAAATAGTAAAATTTGAGAAAATTTGATTAAAGAAACATATCTTATGATATTCGTAATTATATTTTTATTTGAATATGTAACATCAATGTTGAGTAGTTATGTTTCTGTGAAATTATGAAATCAAATTTTATTTGAACTGGATTTTTTAAACTATATAATTCATTTTGACAATTTAATTTTAAAGATTATATCTAGATTGTTAATCTGATTATCAATAATAAACAATCACACCCTTTTTAAGAAACAAAGCCATCATATCTTGTGATTTGAAGTATTTTAGTTTGAAAATTTTTTATTTGAATTTTATTTTAAACTATAATAAAAGAAATATATATATATTTTGAAAAAAAAATTCAAATAATAAAAATTGAAAAATTTAGGATAAAAAACACGTCTTTTCTTCAATGCATTTATCCTAAAAAGATTTTTTAGGTAGAGTCATTTTTATTATTTTTAAAATTTTAATTTTTATTATTTTTTAATGATATTTTATATCAATTTTTTTGCTTAAAATATTATTTAAAACCTTGTATAAATGGCAAATTCTTGTTTCCAATAGTACATACATTAGTAATATGTTATTCCATCTGTAATTCAAATTTATTTTTATTTTTTTTGGTTGTCATCCAAATTTATTTCTATTTATATTTTTAGTAAAAAATATTACTTTTATTTACCAAAAAAAAGTAAAAATTTATATTTTTACATTTTATTTTTAAAAAATCAGTGTTCGATCAAATGAGCATACAATTGGACAACGATAGCGGTAAAAAATAAATAAATTTCAGAAGAGGCGAAGCACACCAAAATAAATAATAATAAACTAATGAGTAGGTAGTGAGGAGGGGCCATCCATTCTTACTCACCTAACTTTTTTTTATTGATACCAACTATATTACTCACTAATATCATAAATTCATAACCTAAGATTTATTCTTATTAATTAATTTTCCTAAAAATAATAAATAATATTATTATTATTATTTTGTCCGTCAAAATTATATCGTTAGTTTTCTAATTATTAAATAAATTTATGCATAATTTATTTATTTATATATATATATACAATTTTATTACTTTTATCTTATCGAATAATAACCGACTTTTACTATTTTTTCTACTAATTTCATAACTTTTTTTTAAAAAAAAAATCAATTTTTAATATTTTTTTATAATACTCTCACTTTACTTCTTATTTTCACAATTTAATACTCCCTCCATCCCGAAGAAGCGTCTTGTTGGGAGTTGGCACGGAAATTAAAAAATATATTTAATTGAAAGTGGGTATAAAATAGAATGTAAAAGATTAAAATGTCCTTACTTTTTTAAGAATTTTAAAAAATAGATTAGAGTAATAATTAGGGATAGTTTGAAAAAAATATGAATAATTTTGTTATAAAATGGAGACCACGATTACTAAATAAGGAAATAGGACAATTGTTTTGGGACAGACGAAAATGGAAAACAAGACAACTCTTTTAGAACGGACGGTGTATTAAAATATAATTATTACTTTTTATTTTTACAAATTAATATTAAAATATAATTATTATTTTTTATTTTCATACACAATTAAACCTACATAATTTTACTAGACGAGAAGAGTAACATTCAGTGTATATATATATATATATTATATTTTGTATACATATTATGAGTGTGTTTACTTATATAGGATTTTACCGTAATTTTATTATTTTAATTTTCTTTTTTTAAAAAATAATATCAAATTTTTATTTATTTTATTAAACTAAAATATAATTTTACATTGAAAACATCGCACCAATACATATTTATATCATATCAAATAATTATTTCAATAAAAAATTTTATTATTCAAAATCAAAACCGAACACACCCTATTTTTTAAAAATTAATTGGAAAGTTGTTTCAAACATTTTTATTGAAAAAAGACTCCTAAAAAAATTCGTTTGATTTCTATTTTAAATCAATCTTGTATTATTCAATTTGTGTCATTTTTTTTTAAAAAATGTACTCCCTCCGTCCCCGTAAGAAAGTTGTCATTTTGGTTTTTGCGTCATTGTACTTAACATTAAAAATATCCTTATATTTGAATAATTTACTCAACAAATATCGTATATGTATTACAAGAGACTAATAAACATATTTTTGTTTTCTTTTTTTGAATTGTACCGCATATTGATATCATAATTAATATTCAAAGATCAATACGCAAAAAGCCAATGACAACCTTTCTGCGGGACGAAGGAAGTATATATTTTTATACAAAAAAATACTCCTATTTACATTTAAACTCAAATAAATAAATTTAATTTAAATACAAAAAATCAAAATTAACTCGATATATGTTATTTAAAAAATATTTTAATAAATAAAAAATAATAACAAAATAAGAAATTTAAATCATATTTATATCAAGAAATTAAATAATGGAAACCAGCAAATATAATTTATTTATACTAACACATTTACCTAAATAAAATATTAATATACTATATATTCATTATATTTATATAATTCATATAGTTATTTTTTTTTTTTACCAAAAGAATATTTTTTTATTGAATAATTGAGTTTTTTTAATGCTTCCCTATCAATATTAATAAAAAATAGGACGTACATATATTTATATAAAATATATTCTATAATACTTTATCAATTTATAGAAAATAAATATTTTAATATAAAATATATTTGGAATATTATCGACACAAATTTTAATATTTACAATAAAAATATTCATAAATTTAAAAAAAACAAAAAAAAACAAAAACTTAATATTTGAAGATATTTAATCTTAGTTAAATTATATATATTATAAAATCAATAAATAAATCTGGGTGAACATCCATTCCAACAACAACCAAACACCAAAAATTGTGTCGCAAACCTTGACTGACTGTGCCTGTGTTTGTATATATATCTTCTTGCGAAGATCTCCCTCCCTCACCTACCAAACCCACCCATCCACCCACCCACCCAAACGACGAAGAAATGGCTTCGTCCCTCTCCACCAAACACTTTCTCGGTGCTCAATATTCTTCCGATGGACTCGGCGGCCTCGGATTCCGCCGCTCTTACACCAAGCTCCCCTCGCCGAGCTTCCACCTGCCTGATCGCCGATTCCAGCAATCCAGACGTTTAGGTCCAAAATCGATTGTTGTTTTCAGTGAATTTTTTTTTTTTTTTTTTTTTTTTGTTGTCTAAATTTGATTTTCTATTTTTTTCCTGGGGTTGGATTGCTTTAGGTGATTGATTATCTAATCTTCTGGTATCCAATAACTTGCCTGCCACTTCCCCAAAATCATATGCTACATTTTAATTTGGTTGTTCTTTGGCATTCAGTCTTGAATTGATTTCAACCTCAGCTTAAAGACATTTAAGTTAATTTTCTTCTGATTAAAATTGGTGTTTTTGTTGTTTTTTCTTGAGATTTGTAAGTAAATTTTTTTCCTTCGAGATAAATGTTAACCTCTGGGAAAGTCCAGAATACTGTGTCGAAATGTAGATTTTGACATTCTATATTTCAACAGAAATACAGGCAGCTGGTAGCACGTACGGAACTTATTTCCGTGTAACAACCTTTGGAGAATCTCATGGTGGTGGTGTAGGGTGTGTAGTTGATGGATGCCCTCCTAGGCTTGCTCTCTCGGAAGCTGATATGCAAGTGGATCTTGACAGAAGGTACCTACAGAGCTACTTGATTTTCTTTGGTTCGTTTGTGTCATTTGGCATGTAAAATCTGGACAATAGATCATCTTGATTGTTGTGGCAATGCTAGTTAAAAATTTACTGATGTTTTCCTGATTTCATATGTTGAACTGAGAAACATGAAATGATATTCAAATATACTTTCCAGTGAGACTTTTTTGTTGGAAAGATCAAATTAGTTATGAATGCAATAGGTTGATCTTGAATTTATGTTTTTTATTTTATTTAGGAGGCCTGGTCAGAGCAGAATAACCACCCCAAGAAAGGAGACTGACACATGCAAAATAGCTTCTGGAATTGCTGATGGTTAGCCGACTAATGAAGATGCCTTCCCCTTTGTTTTTGCTCTTTGTGATTTAACAACTATATTAATTTATTGAGTGCTCGTTATAGGGTTAACGACTGGATCTCCTATCAAGGTAGAAGTTCCAAATACAGATCAAAGAGGACATGTAAGTACCAAGGCTGTCTTTCTCTTTTCGTGTTATTACTGCTGGTGTTCAGGTCTACCAGGGAATTGAGTTGGAGACATGAAAGAATTAATAAGATACTAGTTGATAATAGCTTTATTGTTTTAGAAATGAAAGAATTGATTATTTCCGTCACAATTGATCTTTTGATTATATGTTTTCGTTCTAACTTCCTGCAACTTTGGTTTTTTCTTATGGATGGAAATATTTATGGTATATCTGATGGAAAAATAAGTAAATAAACTAAAACATATGTTACAGATGTGTAGAACTATCTTCCACAAGTAGCATGAATGAATGTTGTAAAAAATTGAAAGAGTCTTGATAGCTGTATGCTTGTCATCGTGATGCTTAATAAATCAAATATGTGGGATATCTGCAGGACTACAGTGAAATGTCACAAGCTTATAGGCCATCTCATGCAGATGCAACTTATGATTTCAAGTATGGTGTAAGATCGGTGCAGGTAAGGTCGCATTACATATAATCAAGAGTTGCGGGATTCAGTTGTTTATGCTGTACCGTGGTGCAAACCTGTAGTGTCATAATATTGGCTAACACTGGATACATCGCGCAGTTCAACTAATAATTCTTAAATCTATAAATATTACTATAATCTTCAAAAATAAGATATAGCTATATAATTATTCAAAAAAATGTAAATAATTTCAAATATAGTATCTGAGAACTGTAAGAGTCACTCAAGTGGTGCTGTTCAAGTGAGCTTTAATTCAGCCGTGTTTCATAGTATAACACTGGTATCGTTGGCATGCACTAGTATACCCAACTATGTTCTAGAATCTGTACTTCCTTATATTTAATTCCTTTTTCTTTTCTTCTTTTTTTTTTTTTATGTTGTTTGTTGGTAGATTTGTTCAATATAATATTGCAAAACATGTATCATGAATTTGTGGGGTATAAATACATTATGTGTTTCATGGAATTCAGGGCGGTGGTAGGTCTTCTGCAAGAGAAACCATTGGGAGAGTTGCTGCTGGAGCTATTGCGAAGAAGATTTTGAAACAATATGCAGGGACTGAAGTAAGCTCTTTAGTTATAATTTTGAAAAATATATGAGCACATTTTGATAAAAATAAAGGGAGTTTCAAATTTCAGAGAAATCAATGAGACGATGAAAGATATCAGAAATGCTTACCTTGTAATATTGGCTGTGGATACCTTCTATTTCATGAATCGATTTGTTCTTGTATTCTTTGGCAGATTCTAGCTTATGTTTCACAAGTGCACAAAGTTGTGCTTCCTGAAAACTTGGTCGATCATGAAACTCTGACACTTGATCAGGTGCAAACAATCATTGACCCTTATTTTCATCTGCATGTGATTTATGTCAATGATCTCTCTTTCTGGATGAAACTTTCGGGTGGGAATACCACCTAAGTTCTACTGTGGTGGTATAAATCAATCATATTCGGTGAAGTTTTTTAGATAATCAGCTAATTATGTTCCCCGGATCAGCTAAGTTATATGACAATTATTTTGTATGTAACCAGCAATAATTTGTTTAATACAGACACAACTACTTGTGAATTACTAGACTTGGTTTTATCGCATATGTCTGAGCATGCAGACGAGTAAAATAAATGCATATTGGGAGTTAAAATGTGAATCGTGCTGAATAATAAATCCTTAATTTAACTTTGCATGTTTTCATTCAATTTCATTTCCTCTTTATGATATTATGACTTATTCTTGTTAAAGAAAAAAACAATGTCTATAATCTTGATGTTGCCAGGTAGAGAGTAATATTGTGAGGTGCCCGAATCCCGAGTATGCCGAAAAAATGATTGCTGCTATTGATGCTGTCCGAGTGAAAGGTGACTCAGTTGGTGGTGTTGTCACCTGCATTGTTCGAAATGTCCCAAGGGTATCCCTACCTCCCTGCACAGCTCATTATTTCTGCTAGACCTCTCTCTCTCTCTCTCTCTCTCTCTATCTATCTATCTATCTATCTATCTATATATATATATATATATATATGAAGCTATTTTGAACTAGAATATCTCTTGTCAGGGTCTTGGTTCTCCGGTCTTCGACAAACTTGAAGCTGAATTGGCAAAAGCTGCTCTTTCGCTACCTGCAACGAAGGGATTTGAATTTGGCAGTGGATTTGCTGGTGAGGAATCTTATTTGGTTCTGAATAATTCACTTCATAGACACTGTGATATACAGATCTACTAAAATAAACTTTTCTAGGTACCTATTTACCGGGACAATATCTTGAGTTCTAACCCTTCTAATTAAAACTCATCAGGTACATTTATGACTGGCAGCGAGCATAATGACGAATTCTACATGGACGAACATGGTCGAATTAGAACACGAACCAATAGATCTGGTGGAATACAAGTAAGGTTTATTAATACTTGCTTTGATCATATGTTTGTTCATCATTTTCACTGCATGCCGTTGATTCTGTGTCCATTTTTAGGGTGGAATATCAAATGGAGAAACTATCAATATGAGAATAGCTTTCAAGCCAACATCCACAATCTCTGTGAGTACATTCCCTCTCTTTCTCTCTCTCTCTCTCTCTCTCTCTCTTTCTTGCATCAATTACTCTTCTTGCAACCATTCGATACTTGACTATAAATCTGAGCTCTTAATATACAATTTATGTCTTTATCATTTTTTAACAGATTACGGTTAGCTCCCCTCGACGCTATGCACTACTAGTGCAATTCACTTAAACACTCTGTTTTAGTTCCATGAATATTTAATTTATGTCGTTCCTACCTGTTTTTCCAAAAAATAATAAAAATATGGCATGACATTTTCCACTTGCAACATATACACGACACTTATAAAAAAAATGATATTAATTGGCAGCGGAAGCAGAATACCGTGACTAGAGACAGACATGAAACAGAGCTCATAGCTCGAGGTCGACACGATCCTTGTGTAGTTCCAAGAGGTAAGCCACTGGATTGAAGTGTTTATAGATTATATATAATCGCATTGATTTATGTCTCTCGACAAAAGCTCGGAACTAGTCCTGTAATGCATATCCACATGATATAAGTATTGCAAAACTTGTCAATGAATGTATGTAACACGTACTTGATGCAGCTGTCCCGATGGTGGAAGCCATGGTCGCCCTCGTGCTGGTAGATCAGTTAATGGCTCAGTATGCACAATGTACGCTCTTCCCGATCAATCCGGCGTTGCAGGAACCTATTAAGTCGCCCAATAACGAGCAGGCACAAGTCTCCCTCTAATGATCCTCGTTATACTAAGAATTTTTTTCCTATTTCGTATTTTGAATGTGTTTGATTGATGTATTTATCACCAAAGATTTTTTTTTTTTTTTTTCTATTGTTTGGGGTTTGGATTATGAGATGACGTAAAAATTTTGAATTTTAATAATTATGATTGTGATATAAGTATACGTTGATGTTAGTTTTGAAAACTTCAGTGAATTGTATAAATCTTAAGAAATTAGCCAAACAAACACTTTGAATTTGTCAAAATTTCAAACTGAAATTGAATCTTCCGAAAATGAGTTTCAGTTACTATTTGACAAGTTTAGGTTATGATTTATGGATATTTATTTTTAATATTTTTAATTTTTATTTTCCAATTTTCTAAATTTAAATTTTATTAAAAAATTTTAATTTCGACATTGATTTTGTTTAGATCTATATTTATTATTTATTGTGTAAAAATCATATAAATATGATTGATTAGATTTTTACAATATTAAAATAATTAAAGAAATTTTGAGTTAAACTAAATAAAATTAAATTATACAAATATTGATTTATAGTTTAAATTAAACGTAAGGAAAAAAAAAATCATTTTGATACCAATATAATTCAAATATATTAATTTTGGTCTCACTATAATAAACTTATTAATCGGTCTTAATATAATCAATTTTTAGTTTCACTGTTATCAAATCAACAAAAAATGTTGATATAGATGTATCGGAGTCGATGTGGCAAATGACCCGAAAGCAACATGGCCATGCACACAAAAACACGCCCGTGTTTTACAATGTCAACACTACATAGTCACATAACACAACAGTGTACAATTGTACACGGGCTTATTCTTGCAACCATGTATCCAGATGTACGTAGACGGTCATGTCCCAATTTTCAGGTTCTTTTTTACTCTCTTTTTATCACCAAAAACTCATTTAATTAATTAAATCTAAGGTGAATTATATATATATATATATATAACGTGGATTCCGCAGTCAGTATCTAAAAGTGCGCACAGACGCACAGAATAAATTTTAGCGAAACTTAATATTCTGCAAATTAAACCCAACAAAATAAGTTACTAACGAAAATACAATGCGAGACAGACGATGTTTCTGCCAGGTCAGGTTAGGTCAGGTCCTTAACTAATTAATTAATCAATCCTTAAGTATTAGATTTAGAGAGTTTGTTTGGGGCTTTCGATTTGAATTGGAATTTGAATAATAAAAAATTTGAATTTGAATAATTGTATGATGTGGTATAAATAAGTGTTGATGTGATGTTTTGAATATAAAATTAATTTTTAGTATAATATAAAAAATAAAAAATAGGTTTTTAATTTGATATTTTTGGGGAAAAAAATGGAATGAACAATGGATTTAAAATCCAATCCTCCAAACAAATATCAAATTGAATTAATTCCTCCTTACACGCTACATGTTGTTGGAAAATCTCAAAGTTAATTTTTTCTCTTCTTCTTCCTCCTCCTCTACTTCATCGGAAAAACTCACATTTAATTAATTAGTTCTATACGGCCGTGTCTGTACATCATCAAATTGGTACATGACTATGCAGTGTTGATTGTATTAAACACGAGCTTGTTTCAGTGTACATGCCCGTGTTGACTTTAGGTCATCTTCTTTTGCTTTGATAATATTGAGAACACAATTGATATATTTTGACTATACCATGAACAAAATTAATTTTTTTCTAAATATAATTAATTTTAAAAAATTACAGAACTTAAATATAAATATACAAAATAAAATTATGCTATTATTATTATTATTATTATTATTATTATTATTATTATTATTATTATTATATCATTAATAATTTTTAATATTATTTTTATTTTTATAACAATTTATAATATATAATAATTTCTTCTCCATTTTTTTTTTTTTTTTCATTCTTCTTTCCTCCGCCTTACTCGCCCGCAACATTCCAAAGTCGCCGCCGCCGTTCAATGTAAAAAACTATAATTATAGAAATATTTTGTATTGTTTTATTTAATATAAATAGGCATTATATAATTTCAACTTACACACGATTTAGTTTTCCTCTTCCAATGTATACATATATTATAAAATGTATATCTATATATAAAAAATAGGCAACATTACTTATAATTTATATGTTGTTCGAAAATTTTCTATCATAATCTCTTAGTCCCCCAAAAGTATAGTCTTATTGCGTTGGACACGACATTTAGTTAGTAAAAAGTAAGAGTAAATGACTTTTTTGCCGTTGTGAGTATATTAGTGTAAAAAATAGTAGCAATTGTGTAATAATAATGAAAAAGTAGGGATAATTTTATGATGACATAGTTATTTATGAAAATGAGACTATTGTTTTGAAACGGACAAAAATGGTAAACAATGCTGCGAATATACGCTAAATTTAAAATTCAACACTGTGTTGAATAATATATGGTGTGTTATTTAATAATACATAATATTATTATATATAATACACTATATATATTAATATAATACAAATATATTACATAAAAAAAGAATATATGTCATAGTCTCAACAACATATCATATGATTATATACAATACATTGTATATGTTAATATAATACAAATACAACACACAAATTAACCCATATTATAGTCTTATATAGTACACACAACAGTTGATTTTAACACATGACATATTCTTATACAACAAACTTGTTATTATAAGAAAACAATACATAACTTTATTATACACAACATATATTGTATATAATAATAATAATAATAATAATAATAATATGTGCTGTTTATACATATATCATGTGCTGAGTTGAAAAATCAACAATTTTTTTCAATTCACACCCTAATCAACCCCCTCTCTTGGCCTATAAAATTGGCTTGGGCTAAAGTTGTTGAATACATATATATATATATATATAATGAATAGATGGGCCAACCCAATCTAAACCATCTTTGGGCCGGGCCAAATTTACCTTAGGCCCAACCCAGTTGCATCCAAGATGGGCGGGCTTCACCGGCCCGAACAATATCAATTCTAAAATGTTGAGGATGCTATAGGGTTCTTTTTTATCTATTTATTATTATTATTATTATTATTTGTTATTGTTATTCCCTGTTCATAATTGTTTTTTTACTCTTTATTTATTTACCATTTTTATTCGAATATATTTTTATCTATTTTACCTCAAAGATAAAATTGTTAATTTATAATACAAAAAATATATTTATTTATTTATTTATTATTATAATCAATGATTGATGTGGATCTTTGCAGCACTTGTAAGCTAATTAAATTTAAATGAGCTTAGAAAATCCGTATAGTCAAAGAAGACGTAACAAATCAAGAAATAGATACTCAAGTATAAAATAATGTACATCCTATTTCTCCAACCACATTAAGATATTGACTCATCAAACCTATTCCATATTCTAAACTTATATTTTTATTTTTTTTAAAAAAAATAATATTTTATATATTTAAATTCATTCATTGATATTTAATTAATTCAGTTAACAAATTAACATGGATTCAATGCATCCATGAATAGTTTATTATCTAGATAAATAACCACACCATCCTTAATCTCCAACTAATTAATAATTCAATCACCTTCCAATATTATTTCGAGGGTGTTTGACAAATAGTTTTTTTTTTTTTAGAATTTTTAACTTATTGAACAACTTTTAACTATTTGACCGGTCAAAAAACTAATTTAGGTGTTTGGTAAATTAGTTTTTTGGACTTAAAAAGCTAATTTCTGAAAAGTTAACTTACCAAGGCATTTTGAAATAGTTTTTTATGTAAAAAAATTTTTAGCCCTTAAAAATTTACTATGCATTTTACACAAATAAATTTTGATTATTTATTAATTATATTAGAATATTTTATTATATTATAGTTTTACTTTTATAAATCTAAAATAACTCATTTTTATATATAAAGTATTTTAATTGTAAAATATATAAATTTATTAAAATCGACACAAAATAGAAAATATAAGTATTAATAATTTATTTTATATTAAAATTACATCATATTAATTTTATACTAAAAATAAATTAAATTTATTGAAAATTATAAATATAATGAACTAATCGATAATTAACATGATAGATATATATACAAAAAAATTATTATTTTATATTTTACATAATTTTCAATAAAAAAAAACTATTTATATTTTCCAATAAAAATATATTATTTTTTAAATCTAACTATAATAAAAATAAATACTATTTTTATAACACTTTTACAATTTTCAATAACTAATAATAAAAAATTTTAAATATTTTAAATTCAAAAAAACACAATTAAATATATTGAAAATAAATAAAATAAAAATATCTTCAATTGTCATTTAACGTATAAATAGGCCTACCCTCGAGCAAGGGTAGTCTTTGATCAACAAGGATTTGACTTAAGCAATGAAAGTGGTTGAGTGGTTGGGTTTATGTTTAGTACTAATCAATAAAGAAAAAAGTGCATGATTTCAAGCGCACACGACCTCTATTCTTTTGATTTTTAGTTTTTTAATAGTAATTTTAGGGTGTGTTTGTACTGGGGATTGGATTAGATTTTCACTGTTCAATCTCATTTTTTTTTTTCAAAAAATATCAAATCAAACATCTATTTTTCATTTTTTATATTATACTAAAAATTAATTTTACATTCAAAACATCAGATCAACACTTATTTATATCACATCATACAACTATTCAAATTCAAAATTTTTACTATTCAAATCCCAACTCAAAATCCAAATCCCCAAACAAACACACCCTTAATACTATCTCCGTCTCATAACTATAGTCTGGGTTGGATTTAGTACGAGATTTAAGAAATATTGATATTATATTAGTAATGAGTAAAAAGTATGGATAAAATTTTTTTTGCCCTTGTGAGTGTATTAGTGTAAAAAGTAGTAGCAATTGTGTAATAATAATGAAAAAGTAAAGGTAGTTTTATAGTGATATAATTATTTATGGAAACGAGACTATTATTTTGAGACGAACAAAAATGGTAAATGTGACTATTGTATTGGGACGGAGGGAGTATAATATTTTAATAATAAATAATATATACTCCTTCTCTCCCAGTTAATTTGTCCATTTTAGTTTAGATACGAAATTTTAGATATTGTGCAATTAGTGAGTGTGTTTACTTATAAGATTTTAGTTTTGGATTTTAATTTTGAATAGA